AAAAAAAAAAAAAAAAAAAAACAGAGACCAATGAATAAATGAAACAAAATAAATTCCTCTATTGTTCCTCATCTATCTATCCATCAACAACTAAATACAGTTTTAACATTCGGGTAATAAAAAATGTGAAGAATTTGCATAAATCATTGAACTGGTCATTCGGTCAATTAGTTGCTTATAATGCTTGGAAAATTGTTCCGTAAATGCATTGCTGATTTCACATTCGGCATCTTGCAGCAAAAAGTTTAACATTGTCTTATTATTGCTGTTTATGTTGACTGTAACCTTAAAAAAAAAAAAAAAAAAGGGGAAACTTGAAGAGTGAAGTTGATTAGCAGACTAACTTAGTCACTTTGTCAGTTAGTTTATTTGTCTGTTTGTTTGTCTGTTTCGTTTTTTTTCGATTTAATGGTTTCAGTTAGCACATTCATTTTCCCTTCAAAACAACCCTTTTTTTTTTTTTGGCTTTAAACGTCAACAGTAAATTGAATTTCTGTCAAATTTTTTTTTTTTTTTTTGGGATGTTTATTGGTTACGTTTTTAATGGCACTGTTTTTTCCATTTTTACCTCATCACAAACTGAAACAGCAGTAGAGAAAATTGAAATTTAATCAGTTATCTTTTGTTTTTTGTTTTTTTCCTTTTTTTTTCTTCAAAATTTAAGCAATACTGAGACAATAGAAGCAAAAAAAAATTTTTTTTTTCTAAATATATGGTTAGACATAAATAATTATTTACAGCAAACCTCATTAAAATGATCCACCACTGAACACAGACTGTTGGTAAGTTGAAGTGCAGCAAATGAAGTTCGAGCATATATCGGCCCAATTACCGGATTACGGCGTTTACCTTCAACAGTGATTATTCCATAGCCGTTTACTTCACCGGTTTGATTAATGGATGCTAAACCGATAACACCTTCCAAACTTAAAAGTTTTTCCAGTCTTTCTCGCCTATAATCAACAAAAATTAACTGTTAGCAAAATTGCTAACACGTTTTTTTTTTTTCCCCCCCCCTCCCCACCCCTCCGGTTTTTTGTTACTACTTTAACAGATATTGTCGTATTTTCAAGAAACACTGGCGAATTGTCAGCATAACTTAATTTATTCTAAAAAATACAGATATGACCTGAAAAAAACAAAAACAAATGACTTTGTTTTTTTGTATTCTGAGCTAATTTTTTTGTGCCGCAGATGACAATCAAAGTTTCTGCTTATAGAAAAAAGTTCATTTTTTTTTTTTTGGCAACAACTGCAACCAAAAAAAAAATACTTATCATCCATCATTTTGTCTTCCTTTTTTTTCTCATCTTCTAAATTTTAACTTTACATAAACAAATTGATGACAACTACTGTTTTAAAAAAAAAATAGCATCCAAAGTATTCGGTTGCAGTTTACATTGGCACTAATTAAAAAAGTCAATATTTTGTAGAGACTATAAAGTACTGTTTTTTTTTTATTTTTCTTGTCCTCTTTAATTATAAATTAGCTAATGCTCTCTGAAAGTTTTATTTGTCAGTTTAATAAAAGCAAAAGAAGAGGAAAAAAAAGAAAGAAAAAAAAAAGAGGCCTAAGTATTTGTAGAAACAGTTGCTAAAAAGTTAATATAAAACTTTTGACTCAAATAATCTTACCAACACTAAACTGTCTGTGAAAAAAGAAAAAAAAAACTTGAAAATTAAATAAAACAGAAGGTAATGAATAAATACTTTTTAACGATTCTAAAAAAAAATTCTGAATAATAACAGTAAACCTATAAGATTTATAACCGAAGGTTCTTTTTTCTATTAGCTTAAAACTACTAACATAAATTATTCTTATCGTATTGCTTCTATTTTTCGGTTCTTTTATTCACTTTTTTTTTTTGTTATAATATTGAAATGAGCAAATTTTATAATATCGAAATAAACAAATTTTTGAAAAAATTTTTGTAGACATCAACACACAGAACAGTGCTCAAAAGATTTGAACTTTAGATAAACTTTTGAACTGAACAGCATTTCTAAGTTTAAATTTAGAAGCAAAAAAAAAACGAGGATACTGATTATAGTTTAAACTTGTTCACCCTAAGTCAAACCACTTGAAGAAGTTATCAGAAGGAACAGTTTACCTGGATGCACCAGATACCAGTCGATCAAATTCCGCAATTTTACCCATATCAACTTCATTGGGTATAAAACAGATCTTTGATATGGTGGCTATTCGCTACAACAATGAACACTGAATTGTTCTGTACACTTTAAATGGATACATGTATCATTTACCAGTTTACAATTTATCATTCATTATTCACTGGGCATCATCCAATATCAGCATAAAACAAAAAAAAAATTGCTTGTAAAAAAATCCTATTTTTTTCTCATCTATTACTTTCGATTTTTTTTTTTCCAGTATTCAAATTAGAGATTTTTCAAAAAAGGAAAACTTCTACCTAAAAAGTTTTAAAGAAGGAAATATTTCAGAGCTAAAAACTAACTGATTTACCGTTTCTTTGCTTTTTCGATGAGCAGTCATCAATTTTTCGGAAGCAATCAACAAATTTTGTATATAGCCAATAATTTTATAATAAGTTTTACCCTTTTTTGGGAATAGTGTCGAATAAACATGAACTTTTTCAACCCCTAAAAAAAAAAAGAACAGCATTGACAGCATATATA